ACTAGGCAATGACATCTGATCCAACCTTTATCAAGTCATCATCCCTGCAGCACACCACTGCAAGAACAAGGAAAGTACCATGCGTACAAACTAAAAATCCTAGACTAAGATACAGTCATTGGGGCAAACAAAGCAAACACATAACATGTGTAATGTGAGGAAGATACAGTAACTAAGAAAGACCCTCGTACCAAAAGTCTAATGAATAAAGTCCATAAACAGTACGTTCAGTGCCTTTGCTCGGCTCTTAACACCGACTCACTCCACGTCCCAGTTGTGAATATGAGATCTTGTACAAACTCGACATATTGCAAGTCACGGCTTTTTGCTAAATTGCCAAGCTGTAAATTGCAAACTGAGTAATGACAAAAAATTTTGAAAAAATGCATTTAGCTTGTGACATTATCCCAGAAGACTATAGCTGATCCTTAGACCTTGATTATTACCCATTTGGCAACAAGATTAACTCTTCATAAATCCCCGTTCTGGATTCTGTTCTTACAATATTAACCACTTTTAAAAGAGTTTTCCAAAGAGAACGTTGAGATTTGATAAAACTAAGAATAATTTGGTTCCCTATATTGCATCATCTACGCCAATATGTTCATTATTATTTCATCTAAAGTTTATTACATATACTTTAGATCAGATTAGGAGACATATTATCAAGTCTGGTTGTGCAGACCAAAGTACAAATCCCATACTCATTTAATCAAATGCTCCAATCTGCCCAGCAACAGGTGATGCTTTTTAAAAATGTTAAGCAACTAACAGAAAAAGCTGAAAAAAGTTATCAAATATATTTTAAAAAAAACATGTAAAAAAAGAAAATTCCCATCAACACACATCATAAACACACATCTAGAACTTCTGGCATCTTCATATACATGACCTGATGACTGGACTGATTTTCAGACTCAAAACAAGCAGACATGAAAGCATTTGAATACGGACATTCCCCTGACCCGGTGTGTGGTACAAAATTTCAATACCACACGGCTGGAAGAAACCCCCAGAATGCAAAGTGTGTGTGTATTCAAGTTTCCGCCTTGTGTGTCAGGCACCCTCTCACAAATATGTGTGTGTGTGTGTGTGTGTGTGTGTTTGTTGACAACTGTCACCCAATCCCCCGGGGGAAGGAAGGGGGATTTCTCTGCAGACGGGAAGCTCTGCTTTTGTCAGAAGGAATGAAGCCGAGACCTTCTAAAGAAAGAGTTCTCACTCCAACTGTTGACTCAGTTTTTAAAGGAGGTTTTTGATGTCTAAGTCATTGCATGAAGGCACAAATATGTTTTTCTTGTGCTCTAACCATTAACCACAAGACCAAATATGTGCTCTCTATGTGTGTACTTTACGTCATAACGACTTCCTGTTTGTCTTTAAAATTTTCAAAATCCTCAATCTCTGCCCAGATATAAAAACAGAAATACAGAAAAAAAAGAAGGAAGCGTTTGACTGTGTGCTCCTTCCACCCAGTAAAGATCTCTAAACCACTTCTAAGAAAAGTCAGCGCTGCAGTGAAATATAGTCGGCTCATTTTTAGAAAAGAGCTACGTTGTCATTACAACTGGTGTTTACCATTCGCCACACCTCCCTGGACCGATCAGTCCGTCGGTGAACCACTGTTCAATCTTCTTCCCAGTAAGGATGCACTGACAAGGCACAGAAATAACTCCCTTTCTTCAACTTGTTTTTACTTTTTGTTGATCATTATAAAAAGCACTTAGGTTCAGTTATGTCCGGCTGCCACCATCAACCATCAACATGCTCTCAAACACAACATAAACAGAGCCAATACACTCCATACCAACTTCTTATTCACATTGGCATTTGTGTTAAAAACAACAAGATAATATGTCAAGTATTACATTGAAACCAGTGTTTCTATGAACATAATGGATTGTACCGGAAATGCTGCATCATGTGCTAACAGGCTTTTTCTACCAATGAAACTTGAACTACTTCTACACCAAATGTAAATGTGACATTCGATGCTGATTAGTGGTTTCTCTGCTCTATATCAGCCTGATGGATCTACTGCAAAGCCTCTTCATCCTTTTCATACGTCGAGTAAGAAAGAAAGAGAGTCTACATCATGCTGAAGCTGAGACTACCCACTCCTCTTTAAAATCCCTTTTCTGTTTGTGCTTCCACATTGTGTGTAAAGCAGTAAAACCCAAACAGTGACAGTGTTGAAGTGGTTCTCTGCAGATACACTTGGCAGGTGAGGAAAAGAAGCGGCACTCCTCTCTGCAAAGCTGAAGAGAAGCTGACAAGAGAAACTAATGAGAATGAGGAACTTGACCTCGAGTGTTTGCTTGAGTATTGTTAGTAAAAGGGGGGCATGTCACTTGATCAGGGTCATGACCTTTGGCATGTTAAACACACAGCAATTTGTTGCCGTGGCCTCGGGACACTGACAGCATTCAGCAACGCCTCCTGGTTGGAGTGCGGACATGCAACCAGAATTTAACTCAACTCAAAATAAAGTTGTTGCTTTAGAAATATGAGCAGTTACCCAGTTATCATACAAATGGAGTAATAGCATTAACTACACATGTAGTCAAATGTTAACTGAAGCTTGAGTTAAGTCTGAGAGTTAATGTCCAAGAAAGCTAATGAATTTACTGTATGCCTCGAAAAATCTCCCTTTTTCAAAACTTTTTACTTTTTGTTGATCATTTTTTAAAGTTTCCAGAATAAAACTCAATGATCAAATAAACTAATTAATTAAATTAAACTTCATCTCTTGCTTTGGATTAAGAAAACCAGACAGTGAGATTCTCGAAAATGTCATTTTTCTTCTACAGCATTGACTGTATTCATCTGGACAAAATGTCATTCCTTTTCCAGGGCTGAGGTGCAAAAACCAGCCTAACATGGGGCAACACATCAATACCGACAAAAGAATCAACAAGTAGATAAAAAGACAGTATGGTATATACATATACATATACATATACATATATATATATATATATATATATATATATATATATATATATATAATAAACTCTCCAGCAGCACCAAGACAAACGGCAGCACACCTTTCACACTCGACAAGTTAAGCTTTCTCTCACATCAGCTCGGATTCACATCCTCGACATTTGAACTTTGCACTGACACTTTGACAGAAGTCAGCCTCCCTTTTTCTTTGTTCAACCTCACCCGTCACTTACTGCTGACGGCCCAAATAAAAAAAATGACAGTAAAACATCGTGGGTTTTTTTTAACGAAAAGAGCAGCGTGCCCCGGAGCGAGGCGAGGAGGCGGCGTTTCTGAAAGGGAACGCGGCCCCTGGCTCTTCAGCTCAGGCCCGGGTTCAGAGCAGAGAGCTACAGTGGTAATTACTGAGAGACTGATTGCTGACAGGACCTTCCAACAGCCTGTGGTTAACTGGATGGAGCTGAGGGGGAGGAAGCTTCAAATGCACAGGCATGACAGATGCTCTGCTGATGACTTGTACTTCGGGGTGGTTCGGGGGCATGCATGCTATTTTGCTCTATTCATTCTCCTCTCAAAAGTTACACAAGAGAAACATTTGCACACTTAAACTTTGAACGGTTTTTGACATTTCTTTTGGGAGGAAGGACGAGGAGAAAAGAGAGCGGAGGCGAGAGCGCATTACCCTCTTAAAAACGGTATTAACTCATTTAGTAAAAAATAAACGTGGCTTTAAGGGCTCCATTGAGCATCTTTAGAATTTGAGGAGTGCCATCAGAGGTGGTTATACCTCCTCTCCTATATTAAAAAAAAATGCTCCCCTGCTAATTTTTTAAGAGCCGATGTAATTCGTTCCAAATGGCTAGATAGTTATTTCTGGAGTGAAACTCTTCAAACAGAAAGAGACGAGTTCTCCTTAAGCAGATTTGAACCCACTTCACTGACGGAGTGGGAGGAATGTGTGATTTTGGCCGGCAGATCATTGCCACAACTGGTTCACTGCACCGTTTTCCCAACTGGACGATGCCAGCTTCTTCCTCGGGGTGGTCATTTGAGAGCCCTTGGGATCGTTCATCGTGACCGTGTGGATGTTTCTACCTGGTAGTTAAGGCCGACCGATCTGTGCCGTCCATGTGATTTAGCTGTGGTGGCGGAGATGGCCGTATTTACATTGGAGAGAAGCGTTTGTTCCAGTTAAGGACTGATGTGCAGCTGCAGTAGCTGCATCAGGGCTTCCACAATCTTAAATCAAAGCTGCTGCTGTTGTAAGGAATGGTACCGATGCCACAAATGGTTTCTATTCATTATTATTTTCCTAAATTTGTCTTATAATTGTGTAGGTTTTGGATTCCCCCCCCCCCCCCCCTCCAATGGTCAGCATGCATGTGAACCGCAGATTAATTATGCAGTTTAACCATCATAGGGTGAAATAAAGTTTGAATTGTGTCTTTTTATGAAGAATAACAAACACTAAAGATCACCATAACAAAGTCAAAGATTCATTTGTGATGGTTTACTCTGACTTCAGAGCGGTTGAAAGGATTATTTGGACGGAGGTGAATAAAAATAACCTGGAGCCCTGTAGACCAGCTGCTATAACAAAACACAACAAAAGATCATCTGTGTCTGCCAATATGGATCATCAATTGGTATCGGCAACAAAAAAGCGGGAAAGGGGGAATCTCCAAACGTTATATTTGCTCCACTTTTTCGCTGATCCAATCCGTGACACATTACAGCAATCAGCTCTGCACAAGAAACGACCCAGCAGCGATTCTGCCACTTGAGCTTGTCCAGAAACTAAACGGGCTCTGAATTAAGGGTTTAAATTAGCTGCTGGGTCGTACAAAAAGCTGCAGATCAAGCCAGTGAGCGGCAACCCCAACAACCAGACACAATGCTGGAATCTGACCATTCATGATAACCCAGCCAAGCCACAACAAATAACAGACAGCGAGTGGAGTGGAGCAAAACCGTGAGCTTGTAGCGGCCAAAGAGAGGCTGTGTTTCATTAAGTACATGTTTGTGCACCGGACCGAGCTGCCACACCAACGTACCTCTGATGGCTTCTTGTGCTGGTGGCAGACCCATGTGCTGCTGGTGCCCGTATTCTTGGATGACCTGGACCACGACGTCACCTGACCTGCAGAAATAAAAGAAATACATATGTATATAAAACCATGCTCAGAGTATTGAAGATGAATTAACATCTTTTTCACTAAATACTCAAGAAGTGTTCTTTTGAGAACCAGAGGAGAAAAAAAACGCTTTTCTTGTAGGCAAATTAGCATAACTTGTGACAAAGTTGTAAAAGAGAAAGTGTTTACTCATCTGGAGCAGAACATAGACAAACAGAGACACACTTAATCTGTCTTTCATTTGTCAAGAATGTGCATTCATGAGTTTGAACGTTGATTTAAAGTGTGTGTGTGTGTGTGGGGGGGGGGGGGGTTTACAATACGAATGCAATAAAAACACGGCAACGTCAACCATCAAGGGGATCCGCTACTTACTAGAGAGCGGAAACTTTGCTCATCAACGTGAAAAAAAAGTTCTTAAATGAGCATGTGATGCGAGTTCGAGGCCTTTGTGATTTACACCGATGAAGGCGTTTCAAGCACTAAAAGAAAGCAGCCGAACTAAGAAACCTTTTTCCGACGCCCGTGGCTGCACTACCACTGAGTCAGGCCCTTTAATTGAAGCAGACCGATGATGATCTATTAAGAGGTTTAATAAGTAATGACAGTATAAATAGCATCTTGTTAAGCAGTTAGTCCACTGTGGTCCTTTACAACCTCATTAATACACAACTTAATGCCAATTAACCAGCCGCTGGAGCCAATATCCCACCCACCGCTTCAATCAGCTGCCCTGCGTGTGTGTGTGTGTTTTCCATACGCCAAATGTATGCAAACAGAAGAGTGTGTGTAATTTCATTGAAGCTGGTTTTTTTTTCTATATTTTTGTTGAAATCACGAAACTACTGCAACAGATATATAGCCGAGAGCTCATTTTCATCTGTGCACCGCGAAGAAGGCTGTCATTAAAAAATTGCATCACATTGGCAATTAAATTACATCACACTGGCATAATGGAAAACACAGATTCGCCAATACTGTGTAATATAGCACATTGTGACCGTGTCTGTAAGCACGTGTGTGTGTGTGTGTGTGTGTGTGTGTGTGTGTGTGTGTGTGTGTTTCTGCCGCCTCCCACTCAACATATTTCCCTCTCCACCACAGCAGTGTTGCCACCGTGCTAATTTTACTTGTGACGTCTAAGCAACTAACAGCGCCCGGGGCAGAGCTGCTGTCAGGCTCGTCTTCAAAATTACAGACTCCCTCTCCCTACACACACACACACACACACATAATTCACACATACACATGTATACTGCATATAGAGCTGCGAACAGATCCACGTATTTGCTACATATGCAAACCCGTAGTCACACACACACACAGCTATTCCCACCATCACACACATCTTGCTCGCATCGACTCTTGTGCGTCTGTCGGTGTTGCACAGTTTTACAAGACACACAAACACGCTTTCACTGCCACAGCATGACAAGAAATATGGAGTGAATTGATCTTTCGCTAAGCCCCGCCCCCTGCTGCTACTGTGTCCAGCTGTCAGAGCTACGTTACCATGGAGCCCACACTGTCACTAACTGCACTCCCTGAAGAAACGTCTCGTTTTGTGCTAATGTTAGCTTGACAGGCTTTTAAATAGAAAAGTAACATTTTAAGAAACGTATATCTCCGTCCAACCTCTCCGAGTGACGAGTTTCACTATTACACAACATTTGACCACGACGAGCTACAAATCCACTAAACGTCTGATAATGAAGAAAATCTGAAACCGTTGCATGAGAATCTATATGGAGCAGAGCCGGATGTGTGCTTCTGTGGAGGAGAAGCCTTTATGGTCTTTAACCTTTTGAAGTAAACTGGGACACAGCTACCATACATGTCCAAGACAAGCACATCAAAACACTGACACAGTGAGAGGGGTGCGGTGGCGTTTTAAATAGGTGTGTCTAGATGTGCTCATTATCTTCATCATTTAACATATTTTAATTTCAACACACTTGTGGGAGATTTTTAGACAGCAGCCAAACAGAGTTGGACAATGTCTGCTGTGGAGGTTTGAGGTGGAACAACACCTTGTTAAGACACATTATTTAGTTTTTTTTCGTTTCATCCGTCATGGATCTGTATATGGGAATATAAGCTGTGACACTATGTGCCAATCTGCAAGACATTTCTGAGTGAACTTAAGCATCTGCACTCCACTAGTGTGTGTGTGTGTGTGTGTTACAGGTTACATCCACACGCCCCACGAGGCAGCTGCACCGCATCATCACAGTGTGGCCAAACGAGCCTCGGCGCAGTAGGAGGTTACCATCATGGCCGTGTGTTAATTAAAAGCCCCGCTTGGTGCACGGCGGGCAAAATTATCATGGGGCATCCTTCAATTAGAAACCTGATAACCTCCAGTCAGCATATGCAGCTGGAGCCCTTGCTGCACTGGGCCGGGGGGAAGCTAACGGCTAACGGCTAATTACAAAGCGCAGGGTGGCTGTTAAGCCTGCTGTAAAAAGGATTTATACATGCAGACCTGTGACCACAGTTAAACCCGTACGAGCTCACCTCAACCTCTGTTGGCACCACTGCAGTAAAAAAAAACGTTCCCTATTCAAGTGTGAATCACTACATTTCCCAGAATTCATCCTCAGATTTTAAATTAGTTATTTTAACAGCGTAGGAAAGCACATTGCCATCGCCTGATTTTCTACTGCACTGATGGCTTGACTTCAAGTCAGCTGCTGTGATTGTAATGAGACACTCGTTACAGAAAATGAGCCGCCGATAGACACAACTTTTTCTTTTTTTTATATTTTGGGTAGTCAGCCAAAACTCTGGGGCTTGGTCGCTCTTTAATAAGTTTAAGTTTGGTTCCTTATGTTACCCGGGCAAAAACAAAGCTTATTAAAGCAGTGAAATAATACCTTCATCGGCTCAGCAGGGCCGTTAGGGAGACACGAAACCAAAAGTTTGTTTTCTAACTCACTATTTTTCTCTGTCTATGCTGGTGTGACGGTGTCAGAGGAGTAGCCGAACAAATACATGTGCTTGTTATTGTAAGATGCATATCAGAAATGCCAAGAATTAGTCATGCAACTTCCAAAAAAGCCAAGAAGAACGACATTTAAAATGGAAATAAAATGACTAAGTCCTCTTATTTTATGGACAGTAACCGGCTGTGAGTGCCAAGTGTGCTTGTGTAACACAGTACCGCTGTTCAAAGACTATTTATTATTTTTTCCAGCAGAAGCTGCCAGTGTCGGTAATGTGTCAGACTGGCCAGATGTTCCCATCATCATGCAGTGTATCTCTGCATGGCGCTCTGTCTCATACGCTGTTTATAAAGATATATCCAGCCCACAAAACTCTACAAACAGACTTTATATCCAGTCTATTGTGTGTCTCAGTGGTCACATGACTATCTATCAAACTGTATCCATCATCTACAATCCGTCCATCAGTCACAGCCTATTAACCACATGTGATTACAGCACATTACAGATCTACTAAGGAAATGTGAAATGCAGGTTTTATTGAACGGAGGTAAATGCAGCGAAACACAAAGTTTAACGAACACAAATCACAATCCCCTCGACTCCTGTTTGTTGGGGTTGTAATGTTCGTTCATGATTATTGCAAAGCCTTTCTAAGAATCTGTTTTTGGTTATATGTAGGCCACTGTTTCTATTAACCCTTTGAACCCCGAGCAGTTTTGGGGCGTTTTTTGCTCTTGTCACATTTTTCTCTTTTCTCTTTGATTTCCACTGCGATAGTTAAGTCCTGCTCCTCTATGGAAATCATGGCTACAAGTAGACAGAACTCAAAAATGTCTTTTGTGCAGTACAACAGTTACAACACCATGAATCCTAAAAAAAAGAGAAAGAACCGCAAGTTGAATTTCTTTGATAATATAATTTACAAAAAATAGAAAGCAATGGAATCTATATATTCAACATTTGTGTTATCAATGTTTCAGTTCAGTCAATGTTTCACTGATTTTTTGTCACGTGACTGTTGGTCTCAGCCGAGTCAATCGTGGCTTCTTAGTTGCGCTGAAGAGCGCAGAATTTTGTGTTTTTTACAAGATCTGGTTTCTTCAAACAGTTTATTCAGGGCAAGATTTTAAATGAGACATTTACAATAAAATGTTTTTGAAGAAATATCACAATTGTATGCTTTAGTTTTGCTGACGGAAGCATTTGTCGCGCATGATGTGTTCAAGGACTGTCGGAAAGTTTTTTTTACAGCTTCTGGTTCTGATAAACAATGAAGTTACAGCAACTGTTTAAAGAAAACATGCTTTCCAATCCCGCCGGTGGGTTTTGGGGTTCAGAGGGTTAATGTTTTTTGTGTCTGATGTAAGTAGACGTGTCAGTGAAAATATCATACGCTATCTTTAAAATATGTTTTCCGCTGTAAAACATGGGCCTCATACTTCATCGTACTTGATGGCTGCTTGGGCGACCAATTCATATTTCTATTGGAGCCGTGTTTACGTAGACGGGGGGGGGGGGTCTTAATGCAAAGGAGGGACGTCAGTGAGACAGAGAGGAAAGTCTATGTGGGGAGTGAATATGAGAAATACCCTGCAGGAGTTGACTAAAACCAGACAGCTCAACGTACAACAACAGCACAAGAACTCACTTTTTTGACACTTCCAGGTTTCTTACTCCCTCATACACACACACACACACACACACACACACACACACACACACACACACACATACACATACACATACACCCTCTCCATCCCTGACTCTCTCCAACTTACTGTCGGTGGTGTCAGAGTCGTTGCTGCTCGTGGAGTATTTTCTCCTCTTCTTTTCGCTCTCCATCTGTCAGGGTGGCACGGACGGACGGATGGAGGGAGGGAGGGGGGGACCAACAGAGGGAGAGAGGGAGAGAAAAATGACGAGTGAGAAGATGTTCACCATGAAAACACACTTGTTAATGAAATAACGCGCCGATGGCACCAATCTGTCGGAGAGTCCAGCCGGCGGCCTGCCAGAATAAACCGACTTCATCACCGTTACACATCGACACTTTCAGGAACTTCACAACGATTGTGAGTTGTTCTGCTTCTTCACAAACAGTGGGAGTCCTCGCGCATGCCGACTGTGAACTCATCCTGCATTAGTGCTGTATTCAGCGGGAGCTGTTGCACAAGTCCCCCTTTCATGCATGTGCTTTAACACGGAGGGTACTTCTTTCTTCCTTATAATAGAGAGGAAACCAGCTTAAACCAGGACACCTTTTGAAGCGTTAAGCAGCAGAGGACGGTGGTTCTTGGTGGAAGAAAAACCTCTACAGTGTGATGAGAACATCTCTATTTAACAACCTCATGTGATCCAGCTTCCACAGGTTACAGTGACACAATATGTCCAATTTTACGCAACCAAAACTTTCTTTTATCTTTTGCAGTAGATTAGAAAGAAAGGAAATACATTCAACAAGTTTGTTCGACCTCAAGGATACACAGAGAAGTGTTTTTGGTGAGTAGCAATTAATGTAAACTTAACTTTCTAAGACAAAAAACTACAAATTCAGCACAAAATATTTCAGTCACAAAGCATCTATGAATGAGCCTCCAACAGGGAGCAACACACTTCACTAATTAAACCGTTTTTTAACAAGTGTAATGTGTTCAATCCACAAGCGGAAAGAGAAGGCGATTTAAATTCACAAGTCAAAAATCACTTTATTTGTTCTACTGATTCCACATTTTTTTCTGACACTTGTGAGTCTCACTTCAGAGCTGCAGAGGACAGGGGACGATGTGAGAGGAGGGGGGGGGGGGGGGGGGGACATCTACTGTATTTAGCAGATAGACACTGGAGGTTGAAAGTTACAGGCAAGAGGAGAACAAGTGCGTCAGAGAGAAGAATGTCAGGAATGAATCAAACAATAAAGCTTTCAACGAAAAAAATTCAGGTGGAAAAAATGTATCCTGCAAAAGCTGCAAAATCTTAAATAGAACACTCTCAGGTGTTAGAAGCAAGAGATTTAGATTCCGTAAGAAAGACCAAGTTAGATGCAATAACAGTGGGAGAAATCAGACAGACAGATTGGGGGCACCAATAATTGCAGTTGCTATTATCATTATTACGAGTAACAGTTTCAGCCTGTTGTCTTGTGTTGTTGTTGTTGTCAGACACAGACAGGTACCCAATTAAAGGGATAAGTCTGAATAAATAAGTGGTGCAGCCTGGTCTCATCCAGCATTCATAGCTAAAGTCATTTGTAGATATCCCACAAAATGATTTTGTATGTACGTGATCATGATCGAGAAAGTATAAAGACCGCAAAAGCCCACAAAGGGCGGGAGGTGGATGGGTCCGACATACAGCGATCTTTTAGCCAGGAGAATGCTGTTCATGTGTGAAATGAGAAATCAACATTGACTTACTGTATGTGTCACGTAACTTGTGTACTTCAGTATTTCAACCCAAACAACGTTCTTTTCTTAAAGCTAACTAAGTGTTTCATGTAAAGACGGAAGTGTATTTTGAAAAGAACGTATGCACGAGCGAAAGGTGACACGTGCTGCTGGCCTACGTAGGAAAACGAACAAAAAATGAGGAGCAACTTTTCGTAAGATATCATACGAAACGTTGTATGAGGAAACGTTGAGAGGTGAGACGTATCGACACTTGAGTATGAAAATAATCATATGCAACAACCCTCAAAGTCACCAGATCTGAATATTCAATCAATTTGATCGTGGGTTGGGTATTTGGTTTTCAATATCGGGATTGTTTTATTGTTTTCTTTAATCTCTCGGGATTACAAACATGCATAAAACACACCAAACCTTTTGGAAAACGTTCTTTGTATTACTAGGAACGCACCGGTTGTGAAATTCTGGGCACACAAGGTTCGTTCTCATCCAGTGATTGTTTCTTAGAAATCTTGTAAGCCATTGTTATAATGCTTATTTTTCCGTTGGGCATGACAGCGCTCTTAAAGCTGATCTCTCCTTGAGAAAATGTAATATTCCCACATGGCCGACTTCTTCTTTCAATTTTATTTGTAAACAAACCACATGTGCGCACAGCGCAGCGGTCCTCATGCCAGAGAACGTCCGGCCGGAGGCCTCAGCAGCTGGTTACTGTTGTCAAAGAGCCGACCGCATATTACCAACACATCAGCTAGCTGGAGCAAAACCCAGGCAGCACAACAGACTGACCTTTGACAAGTCGACAAGGCAAATATTGGCCGATACCGATGTTCGGTCGATAAATCGGTGCATCCTTATGGACTACATAACAAATAACAATACAAACAACAATACTGCAGAATATCATAATCCTTAAAAATGTTTAAGTCAAGCATTATGTCGTCTTACACATAAAGATTACACAGTACTGATCTGTGATCTGATCACATGTCACCAGGTTAAAGATGACATCAGCCACACGACAGCGATGTATAACGAGTGTGTTTGGTGAGAACTGATCCTGAACCTGCTCTCACAACTGAACACACCGCCAGAAGCGTTGAAAAGTATCCGATGGTCACCTTGTTAATACAACGCTTTATTACGATTCAAGGATTAAATAAATACTCGCACAAACTCAGGTTTGTAATAAAAGTGTCCCTGACGAGGATTAAAGCTAAAGAAACTACACATCAAGGAGGCAAAGGACGCACCCTGAAGATCTCTAATCTCTTGCGCCGGTCGCTTGATGGTCAAAAGGAAGAAAATACATCGAGTGCCGCTCAGAGGAAAAAGGAAGGGCCATGGGTCAAGAGAGTCTGAAAGAGAGACAAATGAAGCCAAAAGAGAGCAGCAGACACAGTCAAGGAGGCAAGGAGTTAGTGTTCCGCTAGAGCGAGGCAGGAAGGCCAAGAGGAGGAGGAGGCGGTGGGTTACAACCGTCAGAGTGGGGGGAACGGAGATTTATGTGGTCGTAAAAACTGGGCTGTTCCCTCTTATACGGGGCTCTTCCTGCATCCCCGACCTTCCCCGCCTGCCCTGCGCACACTTAAGCTTCTCTGACATTTATGCTGACAGAAAAACACAGCGCTTCTTCACTGCCTCTGTTTCCATCCTCAAGTCCTGCCATCTTACTCTCCGCCCCCCCACCTTCCCATCTTCCCTTCCTTACAATAACAGGGACACGGGGAGTCTGAGGAGTGAGGTTAAGTACATTATTGACTTCCACCCCCACCCCGCAATCCGTCTAGCTCTACCTCGTCTTCCTGCCTTTGAGGAGAGTGGTTAAGTACATCATTGACTTCCTCCAGCTACGTCTGTCTGACTTCAAGTCTGCATGCTTGGATCCGTCTCAGGGTTTCCCCCTCGCCTATTAAACTCTCCGGCGACCCACTTAAACCACACTCGGGGTACCAGAGTTGTTGTTATTTTTTATGTAAAAAGCAGCCCAGTCATTTCTTCTTCTTTTTTCTGACCACCCAAAGGAAAATGTGAAACGGTGAAATAGTTTCGAGGATCTATTCATTACACGAAGCCTTCTAAATGAGTCGCTTTACAAGTTGTTTGACGCATTTACAAGAAGAGGGTATTCAACGGGCTAAACCAAACACAGGAGGATTAAATGCAACTTCAAATTTCCTCGGTACTCCATTTAACCGAGCAAAAAAAAAAAAAAACGGACAATTTTGAGCAGAATTATTTACTCAGGTGTTTCCCACATATTTGATAGCCGTCCCTGTGGGTTATTTCTTATGATTAGTTTGACTTAGCTGGGCTCCATCCATCAGCATGATTGCTTTGATTTGCTGCACTACATATAAGAAACTCCTCCACTGTTTCTAAATGGAAAGGTCAGGTTATGAAAAGCATTCATCATGAGCCGGGAGGCATTCCAAAGCTTCCAGAACGCGATGAAAAACGAATGTTTCAGCTTGTGAGACGAGCGGGATTCTGCTAGCAATTGGAGCTACGCTAGTCCCACTGCAGCACCGAGGGTGAAACGCACTTCTTTTCTCCCATTACTCATAAACACAGCAACCCAGGGGTTCAATTCCCAGCTGCAGTGCTTCCAGAATGACAAAGGAACTCAGCTCAAAATGCACCTGACAGAACTGGCAGAGGGGGGGGGGCTCCCAGAAGATGTCATAGACTAACAGTCAGGGGAAGTACAAGAGCTCTTTTTGACACGTCGCAGTAAGAGAAACTGCCAGAGTGGGAAAAACACAGGCGTGGATAATAAAATTCATGATGGCTGAATTTCATAAACCTCCACAAACTAATATATTGTGTGTTGCGTGCAGGTGTGGCAGAGAAGCACACACCATCTTTTAAAGACTGTCAGATCAAAGACGATAATATATTTAGCTATAAACATCTCACGAACCAAGGTTCAGGTGCGTTTGAGGTTAGTTGGTCAGTTTTGCATTTTGATATTCAAAACCCCACTTTGGACAAAAATAATTATCTTAAGTGCAAGATTCCCCGACTTCTTTCTGTTCACCTTTCTGCTTGAAAACTGCTCTGTAGACACTTTTTTTTATGCCAATTATTTCACAACAGGTTTTGGATTTAACAGATGGTTGACACTTCAGTTTGGAATTCAATTTTTTTTTTTAAATAGACAGGGGAAAGTTTTCACACTGACATATCAGTGAGCTTGTGGCTAGCTGCTGACATTTGGTTTGCTGACAATGCTAACCATCCGCTGCTTGGTTAAGTGCAAAGAAATCCAGAAACGAATCCACAGGCCTCAGCGAATCGCCCTATCATTTAGAGGGTTGTTTTATGTAACAGCAGCAATTGGAGAATAATTTAGCTTTTGGTTCCAAGTCCGTCCCAGTTTGTTTTTTTGGTTCCACTTTCTGTGTTTTAGCGGTAAAAAAACAAAAGTGTCTTTGA